ACACCAGAAACACATGTTCTTCCCAAGTAAACATTCACCCCTATGGAATTTATTACACTTAGGACAGGGTGTAATACTCCTACTCGTCCCACCAATAAGAATTTCTGTGCTTGGCCTTTTATTTTGACAGTTACATCTGTTCTTGTTCAGATCACTCTACTTTCTTTTTCCCAACGACTCCCTGCTTTGGTGGGCATACTGTCCAAATGTTGTCCTCTGATATGAAATAGCATGGGCTGTCTCCAACATCTCACGATATGATGTGAAACGATGGGACATAATGATCATGCCGATCTCTAGGCGCAGTCCATTTTCAAACCTCCTAATCTCTTAACTTCAGTATCCACTAAATGCGAGGAATATCTTGAGAGTTGGTCAAACTGCCTTTCGTAATTAGTAAGCGACATGTCTCCTTGCTTGAGCTGCAGAAACTTTGATTCCTTGAAGTCTCTCAAAGCCTGTGGGAAATATTTTGCCATTACTTCATCCTCAAACTACTCCCAAGTCAAATTAAATTGCTCCTCTTTCGTCCTAGTGAATGAGACAGATTCCCACCAGTGACTAGCTGCTCCAACAAACATAAATTCTACGCATAGCACTTTCTGTGTATCCGTACAAGCGATGTGTCGAAAGATGATCTCTAGACCTCTAATCCCCTCCTCAACAACTAGTGGGTCAGAACCACCATCGAAAGTCGGAGGCTTGTACCTATGAAACTGCTCAATCACAGAGACAGCTCCCGGGACAAATGGTGGTGCATTTTGTTGTGGCGGTGCATTCTGTGGTGGCAATTCTTGGCTCTGTCTGCTAAGTTCTTGTACCGCCCGTAGTAAATCGCGCATCAAGTTTGTGTGAGTAGGTGGTTCCATTTCCTAAAATTTAATTTGAAGTTACCAGTCACATTCTAGTACTAAGTCTAATAGGTTATACTTATTTTATCGTATGCATATAATAAATTTAACAAGAAAAATAATCTTAAAAATTTAAAGATATGCAATATAAAATATTTAAATTATGCAAAATGTCTGAGTACATTTATTTTCTTACCCCTTTACGTACCTTAGAGTCATTGGAGGGTGGTTGATTGGTGATCGTTGAGTGCCAATGATCATTCATACATTTAATAACTTTAAATTATCATTATCGTTAAATTCATAAATTTTCATAAAAAAATTAACATTTAACAAATTGCACATTGAAACTATTAAACATTTTATTACACGTAACATTTAAAACGTGTAAATTCCAATGTTTATATATATACTAGCAAATGCAATAAGTTTGACTAAACTTTTCTTATTATCATAATAATTAATTTTTAAGCTTGAATTCTTTAATTCTTAAAAAGGAAAGTTGGGTCGGTTACAAGTTTAATGATGCATTATTGACTTAATTTAGATAATTACATCTACCTAATAGTCTTCTTATATCATGTCTATTAATGGATTAATTAAAACTGATTAAACTTTTGAAACCTTGCCTATGTTGACGAAAAAAAAAAGAAAGGGAAATCAATTGGGATTTTTGGAAATTTTATTTGAAATATCACTAATCAAGGAATCTTTAAAACTTTTTGCAGTTGCAATTTCATCATTTAGTTCGGGTGACATAGCATGATAGAATCCAAATGAGACGGCAATTGAAAATCAGTAATAATTAATTTAATTGCTAGAAAATTATAAATTATAAACATGTCATTTAATCCTATTTTATCTTTTGAGGCATTAACATCTTTTGCTCTCACTCTACATTCCTATTTGGTCACAATTTATTTTTTTTAATAAAACATTACTCAATTAAACAATTAACAATTAAATATTCATTACACACGCCATTTAGAACACATACTTACATACATATACATATTTATATGTATTTTTCATTTAAAATAATTTCCAAAATTTATTTTATTTCATTTTATTTACTTATTTATTTTCATTATTATTATTATTATTTTTCAGAAGTAGCTAATGGGTCTATGTCGCACTTTTAGGTTAAAGAAGAATAGGCTTCAAACTTTATGTAATAACCAAATGTGAAACAAAACCCCCAAACACCCCTTTCAATTTTTATTTATATATATATATATTATTTTTTTACACTGTTCACGTGAACAGTTCACGTGAATCCAGAAATCATTTTAAATTTAATTTTTTTTAATTTAAACTATTCGCGCGAACGGTGACCCGTCACTGTTCCCCGTGAATAGTGACGTCACTGTTCACGTCCCGAACTTTTTTTTCTTAAACCAAATTATGAGAATACATGTGGGTTTACAGGAATTTAAACCTATGCTCTGATACCAAATTGTAACGACCCAAAATTTAAAGATTTAGAATCGTTACTAAAACATTTATTTCATAATTAAATAAATTATGTCAAACAATCAATGGAAAACATAATTAATTGAACCATGTTTCAAATATTAAATTTCAGATTTAACATGATAAAACTAAAATAACGCAAAGAAAAATAAATAAATAGAACTTCCTAATCATGTTACTCAGAATTTATTTATCTTGAATTCCATAATTTTTGGCATCACAACTCCACCGCGTCGCCCCCCAACCAACGACCCATTTTAATCTGTGAGGAGTATGGAAAAGGGTGAGTACATGGAAATACTCAGTAGGATATAAAAATTTATGGTGCGATCCCCTATAAAAATTTTAAAACATGCATCAGAAAAATCATACCGTCTCATATCTTTAAAATTCAGTAAGAGCTCATATCATATCATATCATATTATTGTACCGGAATGACCATATCATTCACATCATAACATATCATATTATAACTTCAACTTTCATGAGTATAAAATTCATCAGCATGAAAAAAATATTTAAATGGGACATAAAAACACTGCACCTCATATCCTACCTTATTAGATCGTTAAAATTTTTGGATGACAAAACCCAAGAAATCATGCTCCAAAAATCCTTCTCGTTGCTTCAAGAATTTATATTGTTTGAAATTGACTTCCTATTTTAAATTTCAATACCAGAGGTATAAGTATCTATAAATCCATTTTTTTTAAGGTATTAAGTAATATTCCTTTTAAACTGCATAAATATGGAGTCTGTAATTTACCTAATTTCAACACTCTTCTTTCTCTACAACCGTGTGCTTATACATATGTCTTCTTTTGATATACATCTATAAATATATCCCACATGATCTAGTCTAACAAAGTGGGTGTGTAGTTGAGGATACGTGTAGTAGTAGGATAGGAGTATGGATAAATTTAGGAAACAAACTTTTTGCAATAAAATAATTGATCAAATCTTGTCAACCAACTTTATCACTAAACAAGCAATACCTCTCCCACACGTGGCCAACAAATTGAAACTAGAATAAATAAAGTTTCTCTCTCTCTCTCTCTCTCTCTCTCTCTCTCTCTCTCTTCTTATATATATATATAAATAATATAATCCTAACCTACCGAAGATTCTTCCTCCCTTTCACGTGACTTGAGAGAAATTAAATTTATTAAATAATCAATTAAAATATAATTGTAAAGCTATATCTTTCGACCTCGATAATTTGGGCTCTACTAATCCAAATTAACTTTTTCTCGAGCCTAACATGCATGATTAATTACGACCTATCCAACGAGCCCAATATTCATATACTTATCATCGCTCCAATAGTATGAACATTTTAAGCCAAATAAAATCGAAATTTACTTTATATATAATTTAGTCCCAAAACTTTTAAAACATTAAAATATAGTATACAAAAAAAGTCAAATTCTAATCTACGAAATTTTGGGACATTACAACTACTACTTTGGAACTTAAATCTGAACTAATAAATCTTTTGCCTGCTTTTCATGGTCTTCCAAGTGAAGATCCCCACAACCATCTAAAGGAATTTCCTGTGGTTTACATAAGCATGAAACCCACTGGAGTAACTAAAGAGCAAATCAAATTGAGAGCCTTTCCATTCTCCCTGAAGGACTCAGTTAAGGACTGGCTCTATTGTCTACCATCTAGAAGGGTCACAACATGGGAAGAGGTGTTGAGGATGTTGTTAGAAAAATAATTTCTAGCTTTAAGTGTAGCTAACATTCAAAAAGAGATTTGTGGCATAAGGCAAGACAACAGAGAATCTTTGCATGAATGTTGGGAATGGTTCCAGAAATTATGTGCAAATTGCCTTCACCATCAGATTAGCGAAACGGTTCCAGAAATTCTGTGCAAATTGCCTTCACCATCAGTTAGCGAAAAACTTCTCATTCAATATTTCTATAAAGGTCATCTGCCCACTTATAGGAATATGATTGATGTTGCAAGTGGTTGGTAAAACTCTCGAGTACGCAAGGATCTTGATTGCAAACATGGCAACCAATTCTCAACAATTTGGCAATAGACTTGACAGTCCATCTAAACTTGTCAATGAGGTAAATATCTCATCCATTGAACAATGGATTTCGAGTCTAACTACTCTTGTTTGACAAATGGTTGTAGGTATATGGAAACAATGAAGGTGTGTGGAATTTGTTTGATGATCGGGCATCCAACTAACATGTACCCAACTCTTCAAAAAGACCCCAATGAACAAGTTAATGAAATGGTCGGCTTCCCTAGACAACCACAAAAAGTTATAATCTCTACTCTAACACCTACAACCCAGGATGGGGAGATCACCCTAATCTTAGTTACAGGAATCAAAAAGTGAACTGGTCTATGCAACAAAACCGCCTAAATTTCCAAAAAAATAAGTAGCCATATCCTCCTAGACAACAACAGGGCCAAACTTCGAACTTTGCTATATCTTTAGAAGATATTGTTAAGTCTCTTACCACTAACACTTTACAATTGCAACAGGATAAAAGGGCAAGCATTCAAAGTTCAGAGAATCAGATGGGCCAAATGGAAACTGCATTCAACCAGCTGGGATCCAAAAATTCAAGGAAATTACCTTCTCAAAGAATTGTGAACCCAAGGGAAAATGCAAGTGCAATTATGTTAAGAAGTGGCAAGAGGTTGAAGCACCGATGAAGGCAGTCCCCATATCATCAGAACAAGGAAATGAGGAAAATATCTTCGCAGACAAAGGTACTTCCAACGGTGATGATATACCAAAACGTAAGTTGCACCCATTTCTGAGCATAAACCAGTATCCCCTTTCCCTCAGACTTTAGTAAAATCTAGGAAAGATGAACCAAATAGCAAACTTTATGAGACTTTCCGTAAATGTGAGGTGAATATTTCACTGTTAGATGTTATTGAACAAGTACCTCGCTGTGCTAAATTTTTGAAAGAATTGTGTACACTTAAAATAAAATAGAAACTCAAAGGGTGCAAGAAACTGAAAGTTAGAGAGAATGTTTCTACAGTCATTCAAAGGAAACTTCCTGCAAAATGCAAGGATCCAAGTATGTTTACTATCCCTTGCACGATAGGTGACACTAAATTTGAAAAGGCCATGCTAGACTTAGGAGCTCCATATTCCATGTATGCTTCTTTGAAATTGGGGCCCCTAGTTAAAACTGGTATAGTCATTCAATTAGCTGATAGATCAAATGTCAATTCTAGGGGAGTGATTGAGGATGTCCTTGTAAAGGTTAATGAATTGGTTTTTCTTATTGATTTTTATGTGCTTGACATGAAAAATGGTGACTAAATTAGCCCATCTTGTTAGGAAGGCCATTCTTAAAAACATTTAAAACGAAAATAGATATAAACAGTGTGTCACTGACCATGGAATTTGATGCTAAATAATTCAATTCAATATCTAAATTTCCTAGTGAAGATAATGTTGTTCATTCTACAGATATTATTGATTGCTTAGTACAAGATGTTTTTGAACTTAATGTAAAGGATGAATTGGAGGTTGCTATTAGTAATCATGTTGAAAAGGAGAGTGGAGAATTTACTTTGAGCCCTGAATTGCGAGAAACTGTTGCAGCACTAAACAGTCTTCCAAAGTTACAACAAATAGGTAATGATTCATATGCTGCTTTACAAGTTTCTAATGAAAAACCCATACCGTTTATTTTGCAGGCTCCAAAAACTTATTCACGAAATATTTTCTTTCGATTTAAATCACCGCAAGTGTACGATTTGTTAACAAGTAATAAAGTGGATCAATTGAGTCCGAATATCGTCCTACAGAAATTGATATTTTACCTAACTTGGCCTTAAACGAAACTGATTTGTCAAACGTGAATTGTAGTGACTTAAATTAACCTTACTTGGACTAAATATGTAAATATGTATGATTTGAACAAACTAGAATGCAAAGTGAATGTGTTGAATGCAAGTTGATGGACTCAATGAATATAAAAGCGCACTAGGATCACGAATCCCCAAGCAATGCTGAATTTAACCTTAATTCCACACTTTGACAACACGATGACATTTTGAATAATAAATACTCCTAACTTTATCATACACTCTCTCTCGAGATGAATTGAACCTATTCTCATACACCGCCAACCTATATCTCTATGACGGATGTAAATATACGAGAATGCATGTAGTTTTGTAAGTACTTAGAGATTCACGCAAAGCATATGAGTATTTTTCTATCTCCTATCGGACCCTACGATGATTTATACCTTGTCAGATTTATTCCTCTTCTTTTGAATAGATGAAACAAACCACCAAACCTCATACAATTACGGGCCCATAATCATGGACGCAATTAAATGCATATAAATCATTCAAAACAATCAATACGTGTTTTAGTGTCAAAATACAAAACAAAGAATTAAAATCATATTACAAGGTTCATCGATCTCCTAGTATAGATTTTTCTAGCCTAACATGATGGGAAGAAGAACATAACAATAAAAATCAAGAAAAGACATCATCCTATTGAAATTCTTGAAGTGAGATCTTGAATCTTGAATTGAATCCTCTCGTTCTTGCCTTCTTTTTTCTCTTCAAATCCTCCCAAAATAGTGTATAATGTGTGGTGTCAATTTTTGGACGTCCCTAGGGCTTTAAATGACACCCAAGATTTGTTTCCATAAGAGTTTTAATCAGAAAAGAAAATTAGAATATTTTCACCGCGATTGGCTTGGGCTGTCGCTCAGGCAAAACCTGGGCTGTCATCCAAGCCAATGTTTTCTTCTCAGTAATAAGAAAATCATATGGGGCGATCGCCCAATTTTTATAACTGGGCATTCTTCCTCATGCTGTATTTTAGCCCTCGCAGTCAATTTTTGATTCTTTCAAGCCCTTTTTCTGGCAATTTCAACTCTCTGACTTTCAGTTGCATCCAGTTGAACCCGCAACATCTTTAATCTTCATTTTGTGATCCGAATCAACTATTAAAATGTTGCAATTTAGTCCTCGTACTTTGGATTTTCTTCCTTTTTGGTTCTTTTTCGTTCCGTTTCTCTTAAATTCCACCACATTCATCAAATAGTCCTACAAAACAATTACATAGAATTAAGTTATAATTCAAACTCTTTGATCATAATTAAGTTAGTGAACTAAATAAGTGTGTAAAAACACACTTATCACTCTTAATCCAGATTTGAAGCCTCTCCTCAATAACCTCAAAGATATATTCCTTGGAGATGGAAACACATTGCATGTGATCATCTCAAATGATTGAATGCAACACAAGAAGAAAAATTGATCTATGTTCTCAAGGAATATCGCACAATTATTGGATGGACAATTACAGACATCAAAGGAATCAGTCCATTAATCTATATACATCATATTCTGCTTGAAGAATGAGCAAGATCTACCTACCAATCTCAAAGAATATTGAACCTACCCATGATGGATGTAGTAAAGCAAGAGATTTTCAAGCTTTTGGACGTTGGAGTAATTTATCCTATCTCTAATAGCAGTTGGCTTAGTCTCCATTCAAGTGGTTTCTAGGAAGACTAGGATAACTGTGGTGAAGAATCAAAATAATGAATTGGTTACAACCCATTTTCAAAATGGGTGGCGAGTAACCCGCAAAGATCTCTTTCTCTTACCTTTTATTGATTAAATGCTTGAAAAGTTAGCTGGTCATTCTTACTATTACTTTCTTGATGGCTATTTAGGTTGTTTCCAGATTGCAATTGCCCTAGAGGATAAAGAAAAGACAACCTTCACATGCCCATTTGGAACTTTTGCATATTGTCGCATGCTCTTTGGCCTTTGTAATGCTCCGGCCTACTTTTCAATGATGTATGGTTAGTGTCTTTTCAGATTACATTGAGCATATTATAGAAATCTTTATGATTGACTTTACAGTCTATGGAGACTCATTTGATAATTGTTTGCATAACCTTGCACTAGTTCTTAAAAGATGCATGGAAACCAACCCTATACTAAATTTTGAAAAATGCCATTTTATGGTTGAACAAGGTATAGTTCTAGGGCATGTCATTTCATCTAAGGGTGTTGAGGTAGATAAAGCAAAAATTGATATTAATCAATCTCTGCCTTACCTTGCTAGTGTGCGGGAAGTCCATTCTTTCCTTGGACATGCAGGTTTCCACCGCAGGTTTATTAAGGACTTCTCCAAAATAGCATTATTACAAAAAGACGTGGCTTTTGAGTTTGATGAGAATTGCAAAATATTTCATACACGAAAAGATCAGCTGATGTTTGTACTGATTATCTAATCTCCGGATTGAAACTTTTCCTTAGAGATAATGTCCGACGCAAGCAACTTTGTCCATATTTACTTGGTACCTACATTACTTGATGAAAAAGAAGGAAGCAAAACCAGGATTAATACTGTGGATACTTCTCTTGAGTGAATTCAACTAGGAGATCAAGGACAAAAGAGGAACGGAGAATGGTGTTGCAGACCATTTAAGCCGATGGTTGATGAACTCCAATTGTATGAAACCTTTCCTGATGAGCAATTGTTCTCTGCAAGCGCAACACTACCTTGGTATGCTGACATTGTAAATTTTTTAGCTTCTAACATACTTCATCCTCATTTCTCTAGGGCTCAAAAGGACAAGATAAAGAACGACGTGAAATATTATGTATGGGATGATCCATACACGTGGAAGCATTGTCCAAATCAAGTAATTAGAAGGTGTATTCTGAAAAATAAAATTATCCCTATCCTCATATTCTATCATTCTTATGCCTGTGGGGGACACCTTGGCCCAAAGTGGACAATAAGAAAAGTGCTGGAATGCGGTTCTACTGGCTATCCTTATTTCGAGCTGCATATGTCTTCTGTAAGTCTTATGAGAATTGTCAAAAGATAGGCAACATATCCCAGAGAAATGAAATGCAACAATTACCTATAATTTTTTGTGAAATTTTTTATGTTTTGGGCATTGATTTCATAGGGCCATTTTCTGTATCTTTCGATTTTGTTTATATTATGCTTGTTGTGGATTATGTGTCAAAATGGATGGAAGCTAAGGCCACTAAAGCTGATGATTCTAGAGTTGTTGCAGATTTTATCAAGCCTAGCATTTCCACGTTTGCTTATCAGTGATTGTGGCACTCATTTTTGCAACCGAGCTGTGAAAGCTTTGCTAAGAAAATATCATGTAACCCACAAGGTATCAACTGCATATCACCCACAGACTAGTGGACAAGCAGAAGTATCAAATCGAGAAATCAAGTCTATCCTTGAAAAGGTGTCTGTCCAAGCAGAAAAGATTGGAGTTTTGCTAGATATCGCTTTATAGGCATACAGAGCTATATATAAGACACCTTTTAGTATGTTACCTTTCGAGAACCCATGCCACCTTCTAGTGGAGCTTGAAAATAAAGCTTATTGGGCTATAAAGAACTTCAACATGATGATGGACGAGAGTGGAAAATATAGGAAGCTGCAACTTCAAGAGTTGGACGAAATTCGCAATGATGCTTATGAGAGTGCAAGAATTTACAAAAGAATAGACGAAGGCATTTCATGACACGATGATTTCTAGGAAAGAAATTGAAGTTGGTAAAAAAGTCTTCCTATACCAATCTCGGCTTGGGCTATTTCCAGGTAAACTGCATTCTCGTTGGATTTGACCCTTTGTTGTTACTAATGTTTTTCCTCATGGTGTAGTAGACATTCAAAGCATGGCAACTTAAAAGGTTTTCAAGGTGAATGGCCATAGGCTCAAGCCTTTCTATGAAGGTTTCCAGGTGGAGGACGTGACAACGTTGAAACATGGAGATCCAATTTATGATGATTAAGGAAGAAAGCAATAAGTCTAGCCAAATGCAATAAACAAAGGCACTGCTTGGAAGGCTACCCAAGGGAGTTCTTACCTTTACTATTTATTTATTTATTATTATTATTATTTTTTTTTTGCATTCATATATTCATATATTAATTTTGTTCTTTTCTTTGCTTTTCACTTTACATTGGGACAATGTAAATTTTAAGTATGGGGGAGGGAATTTAAGTTGTTTTAAAATTTTTAATTTAGGTCATGTTTCCGCTTCACAAGCACTTTTTGAGAAAATCTTTCGAAAAATTGAGGAAAATTTGTGGTTATAAATGATTTTTGATTGCATGTGTTGTATGTTAGATTCAATTAGAGTTTGACAAACTCATAATATGATTGAATGAATGATCTTCCTCCTTAGAGTTAATTAGTTTAGTTATTTTCTTTGAGGATGGTAGTATCTAAATTTTGTAAACAAAAAGCCAGTGAAATTTTGAGCTATAGACTGACACATCCATACCAATCTCATTATTTTCTTTCATGAGTGATTTTCTTCCATGGATTTGCTTCTCTAGAATTTGCCTTGATTCTCTTCGAGGTCATATCGATACATGCGTGTATGAACATAATTAAGGACATCTTTGTTGCATAAGTTAGCCACCTTAGCCAAATAGCCAACCTTGTAATTAATTTTTTTCCTTTGTTGAACCCCTTTGAACCTTATAGACTTTTCTTTTGTGAACCTGTGTTATAAGCTTTAAACTAGAAAAATAATATCCTTACCCAAGCTGTGGTAGGATTATGATTGGTAGAATGGAATATGTTCTCAATTACAATTCATAAGTTTAATTATTAGTGTGATATTTTGAAAAAAAAAAAAAAGGAAAAAAATGATGATTGAAAAAAAAAAAAAAAAAAAAAAGGAAAAAAATGATGATTGAAAAAAAAAAAAAAAAAAAGAAGTGATGAAGCTATGTTCATGATTTCTCCTAACATCATAAGAACGGGTTGGGTTTTGTGAAATAGATGCAAAGAAATTGTTAAGTGAAAGATTGGTCTTGCATATTTTGCATACATTTGAGCTTGAGTTAATTCATTTTTAATCCGTTAGTTTCAATGACTTTTGAGTTAGTTACCCAAATATTTCCCACCTTAACCGAAACCATGTTGCAACCCGCGAAAAAGACCATATGATTTGTGTAATGCATGTGATCTAATAGGTAGTGAATGAGAAGATATGCAAGCATATGGTGGATCATGTCCATTGGAATGAACTTGAACGAAACACTTACCCTTTAAACAAATGAGAATTGATTGCTTATATCCTGTGTAAGTCTACGTGTTTGGTTTACTCTATCTTTATATGAATACTTGCTAATTGATTATAAGTTGTATGAGATTCTTTGTTCATGATGTGTAATGCATTTTGGAGAGTTTGATTGTTCTATGTTGATAGTATTGCAACCTTACCATCTTCATGAAAGTCAATTTGAATTTTACTCATAGACATGCAAAAGCTAAGTGCTGGGAAATTTGATAAGACATGAAATGTAGTGTTCTTCATCCATTAATATTTGCACTTTTGTGATTAATTGATACCTATATATACTTAGTACCCTTATATTTTGATTTAGGTTGCAATTGGATGGAAACTACGGAATTTGGAAGAAAAGAGCTAAAAAATACCAAAACAGAAGCAAGTGAAAGTTCAGGGACCAAGTTGCAAATAATTCATTGTTGAACAATCGATGATATCGAAAGAATTTGTGTTAATTTCATCACCATTAATTGCCACATTTTTGCTTGGTTCGTTTGTAATTAGTTTGTCATCTTCTTTATAGTCTTCTTTAATAATTGATATCTCATCAAGTTAAATAGTTGGTTCATAGTCTAATTTCATTGGCAATGTTAATCATTTCCTTTCAAAATTTTCAAGTGGATTATATCCCCACCTTTTAAATTCGTCCCAGAACACGAAATTTCTTGTACGTATTTTGCTTTCATCCAACATAAGAAGTTCATTATAATATTTTGCAAGTGTCTCTTCATTCAACAAGGGAGGACCAATTCCATTAAGATGGTAAGGTTGTATTTTTGACATCTTAAATATTGTTTAAACCACTATAGGTTGTACATAAAGGGATTAGTGTATGGATACAAGCATTGCCCAATATAATGCATCCTATTATAAAGCTCACAAATTATGTCTTCTAATAGCATATCCTCATCATCCTTGACGAGATTACTTTGTTGCAAAAGATTTTGCTCATTTACCATCATCAGAATCCTGTAGATAATGTTGAATAGCGCCTGAAAGCATACCAATCACAAAAGAGATCGGGTGGGTAGCCAAAATTATCAAAAAACAAAAATATAAAAAATTCAAATCCTATATAACATAATAAACTAAAATTAAATACTTTATTTTCCGACAACGGCGCCAAAAATTTGTTCGTTTGAACCCCGCAAGTGCAAGGAATCGTTAACAACTAATAGGTTTAGTGAGTTGAAAGTATCATTACACAGGGAATAAATTCATTTCAAGATTACAAATTTCATAGGGAATTCAAATTATGTAAAACAAAAGAGAATTTGATTTTGTGATTATTCAAAATTAATCTAAAAAAGTGGTAAAATTAGGGTTTTTATCAAATTATGATTGGTTGTATTGGATTTCGACTGTGCCTATTGCTATCTATTTTAATTCTTGATTTGTAAAGTAATTTCCTTCAAACATTCTTCACGATTGATATTCTAAGACAAATTAAATAAATCCTATCCATGATCCGAATCTATTCCTAGCTCGAGTTCGAATGATTAGAATGCATGAAAGTTAAGATTATCCATATGATTGCACAAGTAATAAATGTTATTCCTAACTTCTATTGCACATATGTTAATTTTCCGCATTCTAAACTTACTGAGCACCCCAACACTGTAACAAACAACTAATAATATAATTGGTGGCCAAACAATTTAATAATGCAAATGGATATGCAAAATTAATCAAAAAAATACAAGAAACATTAAACTATTAGTCTTGTATTATAAATAAATAAGAAATAGGGTTACTCTTTATTCAATACCAAAGTGAATCTAGCCTAGCATATTAATATCTAAATTATAAGAAGATAATGGAAAAATATCACCTGGATCATGAAATAATTCAAAAGATGTTGATTTTCATATCCAAGGTTGAATTCTCCAAAATCTTGATATAATTGAGCTTCAATTTCTTGCCAGGGCTTGATCTTCTCTCTCAAAATATAGTAACTATCCCATTTTTCTTGATTAATTTGATGATATTATTGTGTATGAAGAGGTAAGAGAGGGTTTTTTCAATGTGTAACCCTTAATATCTATTTATAGAGCTAGAAATAAGTGAAAATCCTGTCCAATTTGAGTCCCAAAAAAGCTTGAATCGCGAAAGGAAACTGTTGATTTGTTTGGGGGGAAAAAAAAAAACCCAGCACATGCACAGGTATGTCGTTTCTTGTGCACATTGAACCATGTAGCTCTCGGGTCATGAAATTTATGTCCTGTGCGACCAATTTTGTGGGCTATTATCCCTGAGCAACTTTTGATATTTTAGTCATAACTTTCGTTCTTGATATCCTATTGAGGTAATTCAAAATACGTTGGAAAGCTAACTAAAAGAGTTGCAATTTTTCTATAGTACAAATTTTCCAATTCGAACGTTTGCTCTCCAAAAAGCGGGTCTAAATTTGTAGCTAAAAATTTGAAGCATAACTTCATAACTAGAAATTGATTTGTAATAATACTTCAACTCTATTTCACTCATTCGACCTACAAATTACATCCAATTGATCATATGTATCTTCAATCATCATTTATGGTTAAATATTTACACTTTGGTCCCCAAACTTTGAATATTTTTTTTTTGCCCATTTTTCATTCATTTCTTGCAATTCCACCAATTTTCATTGAGTTCAGCCTAAAAAACATAATTAAGCAATAACTATTTCAAATCACTAACAAATACTCTAATTTGTTGTCCTCGACAGGTATGCAAATGCACTTATCAGGGATTAAACATTAATGAGCTTTCAGAAGAAGAATATTAGAGGACCTTTATTGAGGGTAGGAATATGTGTTATTTGCGCTAAGAAATAATCAATGATCTCATGCAGTATGAGAAACTATAGGTTTTGACAAGTTTTGTTCTACATCTAGTGGACACATAATAGGATAAACGCAATTTTATTAAAAACAATGCAGTGTTTAGACTTTTTATGCAATATGAAGTACTAGTTATGTAAGTCTATTAGCTAGAAATTCATAAAAATGTCTTAGAGGTGGTTTGTGACTGATAGAGATTAAGTATGGAGGTTTTATGAGTCTAAGATTAAAGTTTTTCCTTGCTTCATTTCAACTACGTGCGAGGAGAAGTTGCTAAAGAGTAAATCTTGGTAGGGATATATTTTTAACCTTATTGAAATGTTAGAAAATGAAATAACTATGGATAAATTACTAATAGTACGAGAGTATTCCGGTGTATTTTTTGATGACATACTAGGCACCTCACCTGATAGGCAGATGGTTTACAATTGATTTAATCCCCGGAGTGACAACTATGTCTGAAGAACAATAGAATGGCTCCTAAGGAGCTTCAAGAGTTGAAGATACAGTTGGAAGAATAGTGTAGCAAGGGTTTTAAAGGCCAAATGTATCCCTTGAGGAGTTTTGTACTGTTAAAAAATGGAAAACATAGAATATAAAAAGTTGAATAATCGAAGATTAAGAATAAGTATCCACTCTCGAGGATGGAAGATTTATTTGATCAGGTGAATGGAGCTATGGTATTTTTGGAGATTGACTTGAGGTTATGCTATCTTCAGTTAAAGATAAAATCGGGTGACATAACAAGATGGTGTTTAGAACTCACTACAAGCACTATGAACTTATAGTTTTGCACTTCAGCTTAATAACTGCACATATAGTGTTTATGGACTCGATGAACTGAGTATTTCAACAGCATCTATATTGGTTTATCAATGTGTTTATCCACAATTTATTGATATATTCTACGGATGATCAGCGACACAAATATTTTAGGATAGTATTAGATATTTTACATGAGGAAAACTTTTACACCAAACTCAAAAAGTTTGAATTTTGACTAGACTATGTGGGAATCATATGTCGTTAGTGATTGTCCATGGGACCGAAGTGGACCCAACCAAGGTCAATGTTGTGAATAATTGGCCAATACTTGCTAATCTTGGAGACATGAGGAGCTTTTCAGGTTTAGCCACCCACCATCGGCAATTCATAGTAGCTTTCTCTAAAATTTAAGGGGGCCTTGATATAGTTGACTCAAAAGAAGTTAAGTTCATTTGGTTTGAAGATTTGAGAAAAAGCTTTCAGGTGTTAAATGACAAATTAGTTTGTACTCTAATGTTGGCTATACAAAAAGGTTCGGATGGATTTATGATTTATAGTAATGCATTCAACTTAGAATTGGGATGTGTTGATGCAAAAATGGGAAGGTGATAGCATATGCTCGACACAGTTGAAGCAATATGAAAAAAAACTATCGGATGCACAATTTGGAACTTGAAGCAATGGTTCATGCTCTTAAAATTTGGCTTCACTACTTGTATGGCAGCAAGTGCAAAATTAACTCGGACCATAGGAGTCTTAAATAATTCTTTGCTTAGAAGGAGTTAAATATGAGACAAAAACAATGGTTGGAGCTAATAAAGGACTATGACTACACTATCCATTACTACATTGGTAAGGCTAACGTAGAGACAGATATGTGAAGTAGGAAGAACGCGGGTCAATTATCAGTTTGAGAACAAAACAAAAGCAATTAATTAAGGACTTTGAAAATCAAAAAATTGAAGTGCCAATGCTACCAGCTTGTATAGTAGTGAAGTTGGCAACACTAACACTAAAGCCTACACTCACGGACACGGTAATAAAGGTCCAGAAGGATGACCCATAGGCATGTCTAACAAGTCGAGCTCGGGCTCGGCTCTAGTAAATTGTGCGAACTTCTTTTGGGCATGAGCAGAGCCGAGTTTTTACTCAACAAAAGAATCTAAACTCGACCCAAACTTTCGGCTCAGGCCTTGTCAAGCTAGGTTAGGCTGAGTCAAGAAGGCTCAATTTTTTTTTAAAATAATATATGCTGAATGTAAAAGATAGCAACACGTGGCCTTTTATTATTTTTTTAATTCAAGGTTTGACTCGTCACTGGTTGAAAATGACCCGAGCCCAAATCGGCTAGTGTGGCTCAACAAACCGCTACCTTTTAATTTTTAATTTTTTACTAATTTTTTTAATTTAATGGTTGGCTCGTCACAGGCCACAAAATGGCCCGTCACATGAGCCGTCCCGTGGGGCTCGATGTCTCAAACCTCGACCTGGGTTTGCTCTAGCATTTTTCGAGCCAAGCCATGGGCAACTCAACGAACTAAATTGACATTTCTAATGATCCATTCTTGGAGAAGATGAAGGCTACGGTCGTAACATGGAAAAGGAAAGAATTTGAGATAGCTAAGGATAAGTCATTAATGTATTGAGGTCAATTCTATATACCTAAAGATGAAGGATTTCGGAATGAGATTATGACAAAAGCTTACTCCATCCCTTATGCAGCATACCCAGACATGACCAAATGTATCGAGATCTAGTCAATTAAGAAAATCACTCTTGTTATTAGTTCGAGTTAAATTTAATTGAAATTTTGGCTCAACTAAGATCAAACGTTAATGTTTGTCAAATGTCAAAATAAGTTTTATCTATACTAATATCATTTCTAGAACTCTATATCTAATGGTTTTAGAAAAATGAATTTTAACTATGATCGAATTAATATCATTTCTAGAATTATATATCAAATTAGTTAAGAAAATTAATTTTGACTATTTCTTCTGGATCGTAAATGCTTAAATAATTAAAGTGTCTGTGCTCTCCGAAATAAAAAAAGGAGCACTTGGGAACTTTTGCTGCTATTTTATCTAAAAGTATTCATTTACAAACAAAATAAAATAATGATAAAAAAAAATCAGATGAATTATGCTTGGTATAATTTTACTTAAATATTTGACATAAAAAATAATATTGTTATCTTACAAAAATAAACAATCTGAGCCACTGCTTTGATACCTTTCCCCAGATTATTCCTCCAAACTTTCTATCAACTTGTTCCCCAAAGTCAACTCTTTATATATATATAATTTGAATTATTTAACAATTGAACAATATTTTTTTAGCCATAAATGTTGGTTTACCCAGTCAAATTATTCGTACCTGCAAAGACTATCTAGAACAATAAATCGAGCACGCATTTTAATCCGTCTTGTACAAGGAAGCTTCCTTCTGGCCTAAGGTTATAACCAGGAAATTTCTATTTTATTTAAAAAGTTGAACGTCCAACATAAATAAGAGTTGAACTCAGGCAAGAAGTTGTATGTACGAGTACTTTTATTGCGTGTTTGTGTGTGTTTAATTGAGAAAGAGATGGCTGAAAATAAGCTCTATGATGCAGCAGTGAAAGGGGAAGTAAAATCTTTGCTCGATTTACTCAAAGAAGATCCGTTGATTCTTGATAGAGTTTCGTTTACATGTTCCGACAAGACTCCTTTACACATAGCAACAATATTCCAACACACGGCCTTTGTCCAAGAAATTCTTCGAAGGAATCCTCTGCTTGCTGCGGAACTAGATTCCCACCAATCATCATCTCTTCACATAGCATCAGCTAAAGGCTATGCTGAAATTGTAAAAGCAATAGTTTCAGCTGCACCTGATATGTGCTTAGCCCGTGATTGCCATGGCAGAAATCCACTGCATCTCGCGGCCATTAATGGTCAAGTCAGGGTCTTCAATGAGTTGATCAAGACGAGTTCACTTGCTGTCCGGGAGAAGGCGGACCGGGGCCAGACCCTTTTGCATTTGTGTGTGAAACACAAGCAGTTGCAGGTTATGGGAATCATATTGTGGGTTATAAATGATTATGAGTTCGTTAACGCGAAGAATGATGATGGGGATACAATATTGCATCTTGCCGTTAGGACTAAACATATTGAGGTAAGACAAAGTCTTATGTACAGTTGAAGTTTCTCAGATTAATTAATTATATTGGAAAAACTGTAGCAGAGGTCCCTAACCTACAGTGTCTTAGTAAGTTGGTCCCTAGGCTTTTACTTGACCCCTGTTTCGTACCAATTAAAATTAAAATTTTAATCTAAATCAAAGTCAACAATTCATTTTAACCAAATATTTTATAGGCCCCACAATTTTTCCATCACACATTTCATCAACTTCTATCAAAATATACTAAAAATATAATTTTAACCTCGCCAACAAGGGTTTAAGAGTTTAAATCTTCACCTTTTCACTTCTGTTGCACTTCTAGCAATCCAATTTGCCATATAATTGCCACTGCCAAGTTATGTGAAGCATTGTTGTGACCATAAAATAGGTAAACGCAAACAATCTTCATAAGAAATAAAAAGAGAAGGTGAAGGGAAAAAGAAAGAAAATATTTTCATTCCCCTCCATAATCCCTCACCAACCCATCCTTGACCTTCGACCACTGTGATTTTTTTATTCTTCTCCTTCTGTTTCCTTTCCTTTCCTTTCCATTTTTTTATGTATTTATTTTACTTTTTGTATTAATTAAACTAAGAGCGTAATTGCCTTTCAACCAAAAAATGTTATTTTAACAATAAATTGGATAAAAACCATCCACCGTGACTAGACTACTAGTGCCAAAAAAGTAGTTGGGGATCTAAATGTATGTAACTGAAACACTATAGACCAACCTGTTACAGATTCATAAGTTGAAGTCCTCCATTACAATTTTACCTTAGTATAATAATATAAGTAGTAGTTATTAATTGACTGGCTTATCTCCTTTAATTACACTAATTTAGATCAATTTCCCCTAGGCTTATATGCAAATATACGTTAACATTTTTCTTATGCAGACAGTCCAGTATTTAATAGGAAATACGGGCATAGATGTGAATGCAAAAAATGCAAATGGCTACACAGCATTGGACATTTTGGAACTAACTCCTACAGAGTTGAGGGATACTGATAATTATTTGTCCATTAAGAACTGTCTTCAGCCTAAAGCCTTCGACTCCATCAATCCTCGAATTCAGCCAATCAAATGGCTAACAAAGAAGCGCGATGCCATAATGGTGGTGGCAATTCTGATTGCTACAATGGCATTCCAAGCTGGGGTGACCCCTCCGGCTGGTGTCTGGCAAGACGATGCAACAGATAATTCTCACAAAGCCGGAGAAGCTATAATGGCACATATTCATCCCATAGCATATGAGAGGTTCATTCGTGCAAATACTATAGCCTTCATTTCATCTCTTAGTACGATCCTACTCTTAATAAGTGGCTTGCCTTTTCGGCGCAGGTTATTTATGTGGAGTTTGATGGTGATTATGTGGTTAACAGTAACTTCAACTGCAGTTACTTATGCAGTATCCATTGATGTATTTACACCAAAAAAGGATAAGAAATCACTGGGCCATGTTATTCAGATTGGACTCATTGTATGGTGTAGTGTGATGGGAATTCTGCTTGTTGGGAACACTGTTAGGTTGCTTGACTGGTGGCTGCAGAAACGAGGAATAACCGTATGGAGGCCAAGAAGATTTAGACATTTGGTTAAAGTAAATAACCGAAATGTTAACCAAGAAGGTGCTTGAGTGAATTTGATATGAATTTTAGTTTCTTTAGTGATATCAAGGGACTAATGTGCAGTTTGTGAAATTCTATTTATGTCAAAACATATTATGAGTTGTACATGCCAAATGAAAATTGGACCAGAATATCCACTTCAGTTTTATGGATATTCTACTCAATGTAAGAATGAGTAGTCTGTTTTGTTGGACTAAATTGGGATATCTTATTCAGTCATGATCAATGAATTTTCTTAGTTTACCCTTCCTTGATTATCAACAACTATTAATAAATAAGGGTGATCGAATTATTGTTGGTAGCAGTAAAGAAATTGAATGATTAAATTGTTGTTGGTTACTTGTAAGCAATAGTGTTTTTTTTCCATGTTTTCAAGAAGAAGTGAGAAATGTGTGTATGTATTTGGTTAATTTCAAGATAATAAATTGAAATCTATACAATTTTAAGATTAAGTGGGAGGAATTGGTTATAACTAGGCAAATTAAATAAAGTTATATTAGTAAACCAACAAAATAAATACTTTCTCTATAAATTGGGATATCTTATTCAGCCATGATCATTGAATTTTCCTAGTTTACCCTTATTTAATTATCAACATCTATTAGTAAATAATGGTGATTAAATTATTTTTGGAAGCAATAAAGAAATTGAATGATTAAATTATGGAAAATTCTATTTGTACATAATTATTTCACATAATGATGTCCATAATGTAATGTGGCAATCATCTGATTGTCAATGTGCAAGTGTGAGATTTAAATTAAATGTTGGATCCAATGCCATGTGTAATTATGGACACCATTATGTACATATAACACTTCCCATTATAGAATTGTTGGTAGTAGAAAGCTAGTGTTTTTGTTCATGTTTTCAAGAAGTGTGAAATTCTATTTATGTCAAAACACATTATGAGTTGTACATGCCAAATGTAAATTGGACAAGAATATCCACTTCAATTTTATGGATATTCTACCCAATTTAAGAATAAGTAGTCTGTCATTTTTTTTTTTTTGGAGAACGGGGGAACCAGCAGCCGCTACCCTTTAGTTGCGTACTTGATAAACTCTCGGGTTGACGCAATAGCCTGCAAACTATGCCAGCCAGGTAAACCGCACTAGGTAAGCCCTGTGCGACAGACTCGATTGAGAAAGTGTTGGTAGGGGGGAATCGAACTCGTGACCAAAGACCTTCGCGCTCACCTACTCCACCAACTCGGTCATTCCATGAGAGGTATAAGTAGTCTGTTTTGTTGGACTAAATAGGGATATCTTATTCAGCCATGATCATTGAATTGGCTTTATTAATAAAATCAAAATGACAATACTAATTAAGAACATTTCAACCTCTGCCATGACTCATAACTCTTGATCATAAAATCCTTTGTTTCGGCCCAATGATTTATGAACTTTTTTTTTTTTTGAATAATCTTTACCATCAACCAACTCGTGTGTCCAAGGAGTGCCGTGAGACCAGCCTAGCTAATGGCTATACGAGAAAGAAGTGATTTACGCTGTAGTCCAGGATTTCTCGGTAATATTTCTGTTAATAAAAACCACGAGTGCAATTGCAGTTGTTGACCCCAAAAAGTGCACCAACAGATGCCGCTCCCACCCGTGCTTGCGTGAGCGAATGTCCAACACGCTAAGACACGTGGACGGTCTAAAACGAGCGGTTCAAAGGGGCGTGGAAGTAGCCCAACAATGCGGGACGGTGACGTTCGGAATCCAACGGGTTGTTCGTAATCCGATTGTACACTAATTACCAATCGGTGCTCGTAAATGTATGTGTAAAAGTGTTGAAACTTGATTTGTGTATTGCAAGTAAAATGAGAAAGAGTTGAGTAAAAGTAGTCTTTAGTATTGATTCTTGCATTAGCCTTTGACATTACACAATGGAAGTATTTATAGTGATCCATATGAAATGGGAGCCCTTGGATGAAGTGGCACGTGGCCTCATCTCTTTAGTTCAAACGTCTTTTCTTAGGTATGGGGCTTGACTTGCTAGCTTGCGGCGCATTTATTGCTTACGCAGGTCCTCCATACTAGTGACAAGACTTGACCTTTATGTTTGTGACAAACGTTCCATCAGTCATTCGAATAAGATCTCTGAGTAGGCGATCTCTTGGGAGAAGTGACTGTGGAGGAAGTTCCTTGTGGTTAAGAGGCTCGTGCATCAGCTTCGAGGCTTCGACCATTTGACAAATACTTCCACTTGAGGATCTCAGCTACATTCAAAAGGTTCCATGCTTCGGGTCGTGGGCTTCGGTAGTTGGGCTTCGGTAGACTCGCTTGCATCAGATCGAGGAGCCTCGGCGGATGGGCCTCAGCTTGAAGCACTTCGGATATAACCCACCTCGGCAATGTGTGCCACCTCGGCAGGAATGCCACGTGGATCAGGATGAGTGGGCCATTGGCCCAGGTGGGTAGGATAGGTGTGACAACACGCAACAGCAGTAATTGCAATCCATGTAATCACCATCAAAATCCATATATTCTGCACCTTATTAGTAAACTACTCATAAGCAATAATATGATACACAGTGATGCAATGTAACTGAGATTGAACTTAGTGTGATGGAAATTCTTGTTATTGGGAACTTATAATTACCTGACACAATTCTAATCAAAATCTTCAGGCCTGTTATTTTGAATACCTAAGTTTGAGAGGGGAAATGGATAAATGACACGCACCGCTCCAAGTAACAATAGTGGACCTAGAATGTGACATGTGCCGATGATAGTTACCAACACAAAGTTGGACCCACCATCAAGGCTACTACAATATGTGTCCTTTTATAAATTATTTTAACAAAATTTCGGCATTATCTTCCATATAAATAGTGTGACGCCCCAAATTCTTGCAATCCGAAACGTTACGAAACATGAAGTTATGAAAGTGCTTGAAGCAAAAAATTTGAATATAATGAGAAATTTAGTAAAATTGAATAACCTTTAACAAAAGATAAATTAAATTTAATAAAATATGCAGAATGTTTTGAAATCAAATCCTTCATCAGACATTAATAAAAACTAGTTCTAACAAACAATAAAATTAGGACTAACTGAAAATTATAATATCACTCACAATTGAGTCTATAAACAAAATAATAATAAAATGTTATTAAAAATTATAATGTTCTTAAAAATTCAAGTACTTCATGACGAGGATCCGTTGGTCCAATAGCGTATCCATCCACCACCATCCAACATACTAATTTTTACCTGAAATTTGTAAATAATGTGGGATGAGTATAACGAATTGTATTCAATGAGATGCTTGCTACTCCATAATCAAATCAAACATGAAATTATGCATAAATTCTCTTGCCATCATAAAATGAGAATTATTACATCATGACAAAAGATAATTCTAGTAAGCGCTGCAAAATAACGTGAAGACTAATTGATGCCTTAAAATGTATCATGATTTCTCTTGTAGGAGCCCTGTACTGAAGTCATTAAATTTATACATAACAACGTATTTGAAAAGATGTGAAAATCACTAATAGCACTAAGCACCTCACCTTACGAAATGAGTAAGTAACTTTAATATATTTGTGCCAATGTATCTAATGAGTAAGTAACTTTAATAGGTAAAAATCTGGCAGTCTTCGTTATCTATTTACAGTGATCCATATGTCATCATGCCCGCTCTGAATACACAGAAGCCTAAATAAGAAATTCATAGTAATGTGATTACATTTCTACTCAGGAATAGGCAATGTTTGTAAATTCCCACTGGTTTTTGACGATCAGGTTTTCACCTGCTGACAAATGAGACATTTGAATACAAACTCAGTTATTTCTCTCTTCATTCCATGACCAATACTATTCTTTGAGAATACGATATATTTTAGTACTACCTGGATGCATCGTGTAGGCTGAACTTTGTGCCTCTTCTAAAATCTCTTTCTTCAAGTTTGAATTGTCTAGAACGCATAATCTGCATCTTATAACTAAATATCTATCATCTCGAATGGCATAATATGTATGCTTACCCTTACTAACTTTTTCTTTCAATTTGCCCAACATTAGGTCATGATTTTGAGCTGCTCTAATCTTGCCAATCAAAGTAGGCCTCACATGGAAATTGGCAAAAAATGCTCCTATACTAGTAACCGACAATTGAACATGTGAAACTTTGAACTTACCAAACAAGGAAGAACATGTCGTCAATTTTGTATTCGCAAAGGTATGGATCGTATCGAGTAATAAAGTGGACCCAAGAGTCCAAATTGTCGTTCCCATGAGTGTTATACTTTAGCAATTAGTTTAGTTTTTCTCTAACCACTATTTGATCGAGGAAAATAAAAATTTATATTGTTTGATTTTTAATCTAAATACATGAAAATAAGTAGATACACATAAGATTGGCTTATAAAGTAAATAGTGAACAGCTATTAGAGCAAAATAATTTTACCTATTGATCACCTTTACATCTTAAATCAAGTTCATATCTAATGTAGCATTTGTTCAAATTCTCTCATTGTATTCAAATTACCCCTCTCGAGTTCTCGTTGAACCTATTTAACTAATTCAATTCCATCTCTATGTGAATCAAGCATAGTTAAACGAGTTCTTTGTTCTAGGAAATCAATTATGACCACAATAATTAGTATAAGTATCTCTACGCGTTATACCTTTTTTTAAGATTTTACTGCATGGTCTAAATTTTAAACTCATATCTCTATTTATAAAGGATTCACAAAATTATCAAATCAGTGATCAAATAATTTAATGCATTAAACTCATAGTAAAATCAACACATGGAGAAAATAAAGAAAAAGAATCTTGATTAAAAGACATAAAGGATCCCAATTGAATTACACTATACGCTCTAACCAGAGATTTAGCTACTCACAATGAAAGAAGTTTCATTTAATGTATCCAAACGGCATAACCATCCATTCATATAAACCATATTTAGTTTTGAATGCAGTTTTCCACTCATCACCTTCCCTCATGTGAATTTGATGGTACCCACTATTTACATCAATTTTACTAAAAATACATGCGCCATGTAATTCATCCACCATGTTGTCTAAAAATAGAGATTGGGTGAAGATACTTTACCGTTATATTATTGATAGCTCTGCAATAAGGCACATTCTCAATGACCCATCTTTCTTTGGCACAAGCAATACTGGTAGGGTACATTGACTCATGCTCTCCCTTATATAACCCTTGCTCATCAATTCTTCTACCTGCCTATGAAATTTTTTTTGTCTCTTCGGGATTGCTTTGATAAGTTGG